GGGTCCTTCGACCCAGTGCCTTCTGCCCCGAGGCCTGCCTGTCGTCAGACCGTCCGGCTGTGGGGAGGGGGCGGGCCGCCACCCTAGGTCTCTGGCCGCACAGAGCCCGCGGGGCTCCCCGAGTGCGTGGCCTGCGCAGGAGGCAGATGGGTCACGGTGGGTGGTTCGTTTCCAAACCACGGGACGTCCAGCTCGCCCTGATAGAGAGGTTTTGCCTGCGTCTGGCCGGCGGCGTGCGCGCGCCAAAAGGCTGGAATGTTGGATATTTGGGTTTTTATGGGAATCACAGGACCAAATATTTTAAGTCCTGGAAACTTGAAAATGAGCATTCCCGTAATGATTGTGCTGCTCTTACCCTCGAGACGCTCGGCCCTGCAGGTTTGGCACAGGATCAGATAACAGTTTTTAAATGTAATTTCCTCCCCTAAAACTCCCCAGCGTCTCCGTGCTGGTCTCATGTTCTCGGGTGTCGTTGCTGGAGTCTCCACGTGAGAGCTCGCTCAGAGGACGCCCTGTCCCCGTTTGACGCAGCGGCTTCTCCTCCGGGCACGGCGGCTCCGTCCCCGAGGCGCCTCCCGGTCTCCTTACCCTTCGGTTCCTTTGCTCTGGGCCTGGCCGCCTGTGCTCTCAGCTGGGTGGGGAGGCCGGCATCTCGCTGCTCAGCGGGCTGATACCCCCGAGCCCCGTACCTGTCACGTCGCGTCGCCCGGCTCTGCGCAGTGGGGCCTCTGTGGTTTCTGGTGTTTTCTTTTGTTGGTTTTGTTTTGTTTTCAGAGAAAAAGTTAGGGCTTCAGTGGAGTGGGGGTGGTGACATGCGAATCTTTTTCTTTTTTTAAAAATACATACATTTTGAATCCATTCCCTCTGTTCAATCCGGACTCACAGTCCCCATCCAGGCACCTCACAATCTAGTTTCAGAGCTTTTTTTTTTTTTTAAAAATCTATATGTATTAAAGGCTAATATGCTAAGTGTCCCTCCGACCATCCGACCGGTAGCTATGACATGCACTGACCACCAGGGGGCAGACGCTCAATGCAGGAGCTGCCATGACACGCACTGGCCATTTATAAAGGAACGGCGCCGCAGACCTGGCGCCAACAAAGCAGCACTTGGCTCCCCCAAAGTGGGACACGGGTCCTGCCTCCACCTCAAAGCGACAGCCACCAAATGGCTGCCGAGACCCCACGGCGCAAAATGCAGCCCACAGCCCAGCCCAGCCTGGAAACAGTCACCGTGGGCACCAGGTAATGACGTTAAGTAGCAATGCCCGGCTTCCTCTCCCTAGCAACTAGCCTCCTGCAGTTTCTTCTGCCCAGGAACCCGACTTGCTTTATAGCCAGGTGCAAACATTTCACAGTTCAACCAAATGTCTGTGAAGCATTTTCCTGTGCCTCATCTCATTTGTTCCTCACAGAAGTTTTGGAGTAGGTAGATAGTAGACTTGGTGGAATCCTAATTTCTTTTCACTAGCTGGGGAAAGGTCTAATTAAGCAAGTTTGTTCTATATACATAAAAGGCTAAGCTGACTTGTGCATGCACATATAGAGCTCTCGCTGGCACCAGTGGCACGTGTGTGTGTGTGTGTGTGTGTTTCCATCTGTCATTGTTGATCGTGGATTTGGTTGACACTCCTATTATAGAGAAAGGGCAAAGAGTGATATTAAAATATTTCTTCTAATTAATTCCCTTTCTGTGCATGAATTCATGCACCGGGCCACTAGTTTTAAATATATTTTAATTGATTTCAGAGAGGAAGGGAGAGGGAAAGATAGAAGCATCAATGATGAGAGAGAATCACCTATGGGCTGCCTCCTGCACGCCCCCCACTGGGGAGGGAGCCCACAACCCGGGCCTGTGCCCTGACCGGGAATCGAACCGTGACCTCCTGGTTCATAGGTCGACGCTCAACCCCTGAGCCACGCCGGCCGGGCTCCAGTTTTAATTTCCACAGAGACACCCTGCCCGGCCGGGAGCCGCCACCTCGGGCCTTTGTGACGAGCACGTCTGCTTCTCTCAGGCAGGTGTCAGCGAGAACGACTTCTACGACGGGGCGTGGTGCGCAGGCAGGAACGACCTCCACCAGTGGATCGAGGTGGACGCCCGGCGGCTGACCCGCTTCACGGCCGTCATCACGCAGGGGCGGAACTCGCTGTGGCTGTGAGTGCGGCACTGTGCTGTGGGCTCCGCCTGGGCCTGAGGGTCCGGTGTGGACAGGGCAGGGACAGGGAGGCAGCTGGCAATGGGTGGGCAGGTGACTGGCAGTGGGCAGGGAGGGGTCAGGCAGGGGGCATTAGAAGAGAAGGACCTTGGAGGGTGGGCAGGAGGCTGGGTGCTGTGGACTCCGGTCCATCTGTTAGAACGACTGCCCCCCGACCCCCCACGGGAACGGGGAGTAGGAGACGTGGGGTAGTATCCCCGTCCGGTCCATGCAAACATGGGGTAGTATCAGCTGTAAAAGAAGGGAATTCTGACACCGGCTACAACACAGAGGAGCCGTGAGGACATGGCGCTAAGTGCAATAGCCGTCACACAGGACAGACCTATCCGAGTCCACTCACAGGGGCTCTGAGAGAGTCAGATCCTAAAACAGGAAGCAGAGGGGCGGCTGCCAGGGGCCGGGGAGGGGATGGGGAGTTACTGTGAAGGGTATAGACTTTCACTTTGGGGTGATGGAATGTTCCGGAGTTGGAGGGAGGGGATGGTTGCACAACACTGTGAATATACTTATTACCACTGAGTTGTACCCTTAAAAATGGTTAAAATGAGCCCAGCCAGTGTGGCTCAGTGGTAGAGCATTGACCTATGACCAGGAGGTGAGGGTCAATTCCCGGTCAGGGCACATGCCCAGATTGCAGGCTTGATCCCCAGGAGGGGGCATGCAGGAGCAGCCGATCAATGATTCTCTCTCATCATGGATGTTTCCACACTTCTCTCCCTCTCCTCCCTCTCTCAAATCAACACAAACATGTTTTAAAAATGGTTACAATCATAGGTTTTATAGTATGTATACTTTATTATAATAAGTGAAAATGTAAGTGCAAATACCTCCCTCCTCCCCCAAAGAACCTCTCCTCACCAACCCAGGGCTGGAGATGGATTCCGTATTTCCCGTCATATTTTGAGTGCGATTATGATTATGCTATTTTCAAATTTTTAAAAAAATATATTTTATTGATTTTTTACAGAGAGGAAGGGAGAGGGATAGAGAGTTAGAAACATCGATGAGAGAGGAACATCGATCAGCTGCCTCCTGCACACCCCCCACTGGGGATGTGCCCGCAACCAAGGTCCATGCCCTTGACGGGAATCGAACCTGGGACCCTTCAGTCCGCAGGCCGACGCTCTATCCACTGAGCCAACCCGGCCAGGGTGATTATGCTATTTGTAACTGAGCACATACCCGGGACCTTTGCCTGTGCTCCTCCGACTTCATAATGGTCATTTTTAACAGCCGGTCACTCCACAGCCAGGCCTCCATCCCACCTCCACGTCCTACAGTCACAGGTCATTTTGCAAGAAGACTTTCTCCTCCTTTTTTGTCCCTTTGAATTGTTTCCTTCACAGGCGTTTCCAGGGCTGGGATCACCGCACATGTTGGCAGCACTGGCTCACGTATGTGCTGTCGTGTGGCACGTTTTTATCGAGTTGTTTTGCGGTAGCTCTTACGCGTGTGCTCACACCTGCCCGTCTTCCCCCTGCTGTGCGCCTCTCTCTAATTGGTGGCTCGTTGCCATGACAATTGTTCTCACTGTTCAGATTCCAAAAGGCAAGAGTTTTGAAAAAAAGAAAAAGAAAGAAAAACGTTGAATTGCTCCAGGAAAAGGGACAGTTGGATGGAGAGGTCGGCTGAGATGATCTGCAGACAGTGCGGGGACTGTGCGTTAATGCTGGATATTGACCTGTCGGCCGGGGCGGGAGCGGCCGGTGGCCGGGCTGTGATTGGATTAGGGAGCGGCCGGCGGTGGGGCCATTACTGGATTCCACAGAAGGCAGCTCACTTTCCCTTCCAGCTGAAACTCGAGAGGGTTTGGCTGGAGGAGAAATCGCAGCGGAACACTGTGTTTCTGGGCTCAGCCGAGGACAGGAGCCTCGGAGGAGGCGAGGGGTAGGGTTGCTCTTAAGAGGCGGTTTGTTTTTTAAATGTCTAAATGCATTTCAAGTCCAATTATTCTTCAAGGACAATGCGCAGGGGGCTGGAGCGGTGCAGTCTGAGCTCCTGGAATAGGACCGTCTGCACTCAGGACGGAATCACCAACGGGCGAGGGTACGTTCTGCTGTCTGAGCCTTTTCCCGGAGGCGTGAGTCATGCTGGAGGCATAGGGAGCTAGTCCAGTGCGGCCCTAACACAGGGCAGCAGGAGCGGCCACCGCGTCCCGGCAGCGAGGAGGACAGCGTCGTCCCTCTGTCCCTCCCCACGCCGTGCTCATGCTGTGCCCAGTCTGGGCATCTACGGTGCTTTTTAAAAAATCGATTTCAGAAAGGAAGGGGGAGGGAGAGCGAGAGAAACATCGATGATGAGAGAGAATCACTGATCGGCTGCCTCCTGCACGCCCCTCACAGGATGGAGCCCACAACCCGGGCCGGGGCCCTGATCGGGAATCGAACCCGGACCTCCTGGCTCACAGGTCGACCACTGAGCAACACCAGCCGGCTTCTTTGGCCTTATTTAGAGAAGTGCTTTTCAAGCTTTATCTTTAGCCCCAGAGCCGTCCTTTCGATAAAGTCTTTCTTGGACACAGTCAGAGAATACGGACGAGTGGGGCTGCTCTGTGTGGGTCCCGGATGTCCACACGCTGACGCGGGATTGAGTGGGAGGGGGCGCAGGAGAGCTGTCTGCAGGCCCGGATACCGGCGGGAAGAGGGTCACGAGGCTTAGCCACGGCCGAGACCAGTTCCTAACCAAGAGGATGAAACACTCCAGGGCTCATGATTTTCAAGTACCTCACGCTCTCTGACAGGGACAAAATGGAGCTGTTTCCATGATGTTGAATATTTATGTTTTTCACTGATAAGTGTCCCTCCCCATTGATTGCAGTTTAGCGAAACGTGAGTGTACTGATCAGAGCCGTCTTCCGTTCCCTGCTTTTGAAGCGTTCGGCAGGTGGACGAGTGTGGGAAGGATCTGTTACAATGTGGTGAAGGAGAAGGTAGTCACTTCGCCTGAGCTGAACGGATGCTCCCGCTGACTTGGTACCGGCAGTTTAAAATGCCCGAGTGTTTCCAGCTTTAGTTGTTCTGGAAACAAACGATCGTCGTCATCACCTGAGAGTCTGCACACGTGGCCTCAATGCGAGGGGGCAGGCTGACTGGGCGTTTGCCCGCTGAGGGCTGGGGAGGTCGACCAGTTGGCTGGATGTTTAGCAAGCATTTGGGTCCCGGCGGTGTGGCTCAGTGGGTTGGGCATCGGCCCACACACCCAGAGGTCACCAGTTCGATTCCCGGTCAGGGCACAGGCTCCAGGTTGAGGCTCGATCCCCAGTCATGGGGGTGCGGGAGGCAACCAATCCATGTTTTGCTCTCACATCAACATTTCTCTCTCCCTCTCCCTCTCTCTCTAAAATCGATTATAAAAAGCAAACCCCGCAGCGCAGGTTCTAGAACAGGGGTGGGCAAACTTTTTGACTCGAGGGCCACAATGGGTTCTTACACTGGACCGGAGGGCCGAACAAAAGCACGGATGGAGTGTTTGTGTGAACTAATGTAAATTCAAAGTAAACATCATTAGCCGAACCGGTTTGGCTCGGTGGATAGAGCGTCCGGCGGCCGTAGTTTGCCCACGGCTGTTCTAGAACTTTATACATATTGTCTTATGACTTTGCCTTTAGAAGAGAAAGGCAGTTGGCTAATTTGCAAGCGATGAGTGAGGCTGTGCCGGGAGCTGGGAGCTGGGAGCTCAGAGGAAGCCTGGAGGGAGCACAGAAGGAGCCGGGAGGGAGCCGGGAGCTGGGAGCCGGCAGCCAGCCCGGCCGTGGAGGAGCGTGGCCCCGTTTTCAGTGGGATCTTAGCAGAGGCTCGGAGTGCGGCCTCCCCTCGGGAGCTCTGAGGGCGACGGAAGGGGAAGGGGGCGGACGACAGACAAGGCCAGAGCCAGGCCTGTTTCCCGGTCCTTTCGGAAGCGGCTGTGCTCACAGGAGGGGCCGTGCCCAGGAGGCAGGTCCCTGGGGCCACGGGTGGCGGTGGGGTGCGGGGCTGACACGGGGAGGGGCTCGCATGGCAGGAGGAGGCGTCCTGATTCCCTGAGATGCCAAAGGCGG